ACAAAGCAAGTGACAAAAATTCGCTCAGACACGTCGATTTTTAAATTCATTTCTTAATTTATTTATTCAAAAAAAAAAATTTTTTACATACATTTTTAAAAAGTTATGACGTCATCGTCAATTTCTTTAAATGGCAACCCCCATTTTTAAAAATTTCATTTGGAAGAGCACATTTTTCTGCATACAGTACGTTAAATTCTAAGGCATGTTGCACGACGAAATTATCGAAAAAAAAATCTTAACTGCTTTTAACAGTTTAATAAAACAGAAATACAAGAAATAATAAATCCAGCAAAAAATAATTAAATTAAGTGTTCAAATTGCGTACCATTTACTTCTTGACAATGCCCAAGCCGAAATTCAAATTCTCGCAAAACGTTAGTAATTGTTTCGGGTCCAATTCTTCCACAATCGTACCTAATTCTATCTTTTAAGTCCTCAATGTTATTCGGTCTATTAAAATACACTTTGGATTTAAGATAACCCCATAAAAAATAATCCAATGGAGTTAGGTCCGGAGATCTAGCTGTCCATTCTAATGAACCGCGTCTACCAATCCATCTGTCTGGGAAAATTTTGCTTAAATAATTACGCACTATTACCGAATAATGCGGTGGTGCGCCATCTTGTTGAAACCATATGGAGTTCTCCGGTACATTAGGGTTTTCGCCATTTGGATACAGTGCGGCAAGTCCCGGTATTATGTTTTGTTGGAGCAACTCCAAATATTTTACACCAGTTAATGACCCGTCAATAAAAAATGGGCCCAAAATTGTAGTCCCCACGTTTACTTTCTGTGGAAACTGGGTATGTTCCTCCATCATCCAGTGTGGATTTTCATGTGACCAATATCGACAATTTTGCCTATTTACAGCGCCATTTAAGCAGAATGTGGCCTCATCAGAGAAAAGTACTCGACTTAAGAAATGTGGATTGGTATTACATCGTTCCATCATGGTTTCGCAAAACTGTACTCTGCGGTCGAAATCATCTTCGTTAAGCTCGTGAACTAAAGTTACTTTATATGGGTGCCATTTATTCTTTTTCAAATATTTTAAAACAGTCGACTGACTAATTGACTGCTCTGCTGCGACTTCGCGACTTGGTTTGTAAGGATTGTCCTCCTCAGTAAAACATCTAACTGTTTATTTTCTGAAATTGCAGTACGACCCCTCGTATAATTAATTATCTCTTACATGACCACACTCTCGGAACTTATTTTCTATTTTGCTAACAGTTGATTGTGTAATCGGTCGATCAGGATATTTATCGTTAAATAATTCAGTAACCCGAGTTTGTGTTCGGGACATGTCTCTACAACCAATCATCACCAATATCTCAATTCGCTGTCTCTCACTTAAACGTTCCATTATTAAAACTTTAAATAATGTGACAACTGAATGTGAGTAAATATGAACTAACGTGACAGCCAGGTCCGCGTTTCTACGTAGATGAAAAAAAGCGTAAACATGAAAAAAGTGTAAGTCGTAAAACAGTTCCTCTACCACGGTTCGACCATAAGTAAAACACGTGTGTGCTATTAATGTTAAATTGTTTTTTTCTCGATAATTTCATCATGCAACATGCCCTAGAATTTAACGTACTGTATGCAGAAAAATGTGCTCTTTCAAATAAAATTTTTAAAAATGGGGGTTGCCATTTAAAAAAATTGCCGATGACGCCATAACTTTTTAAAAAAAGTATGTAAAAATTTTTTTTTTTAAATAAACAAATTAAGAAATGAATTTAAAAATCGACGTGTCTGAGCGAATTTTTGTCACTTGCTTTGTAACGATTTTACGGAATTTATTCCAACCTTTACGTGCTCACTGTATAAGCAATGAACGCAAATTTTGCTACTCAGATTCCCTGTACTCTTGACAAAGGCCTAAAATACCGAAACACGTGTAGAGTTTTTGATAAAAAATTTTGAAACAATAAAAATCAAATTTCCTTCAAACATGGAAAGAAAACTAACCAAGAACAGATATATTTTTGAGTTTCATTAGCGCAAGTCTTTAAGTCAATATAAGTTTGATTCCTTCGAAGTATAAGTTTGTATTAAATATACTTTTAATAGTACACTTCTTTCGAGTACTGTTAAGCGTGAGAGTAAGTATAAGGACATCTTGAAGTAAATTCTTATTTAAATGTTTTTCTTGACATCAGAATACTACTCTTGGAATAAAACTACAAACAACTGTGCTGGATGAATTATACATATTATTAATCTAATCCAATAACTGTTATGTTGATTGAATACTTACTAATCTCAATGTGAAGTGTTCTAAAATAATGATGGAACAAGTGAATCGCGCAGTGGTGGGAGGTAGAAAGCTATGCCTTTGCCAACCTAAGACGACATACCTTACCTACTACGCGTCGAATTGTGTGTGCTGTACATTGTTCATTGATGTTGATTATTATGAAATAATTTATATTTGTAAAGTTCTACTTGAAAAAGAAGTATATTAACATTATGAACTGTGAAATAAAAGTTAATGAGTCTACGATGGAAGAGCTATTAGCAAGTTGGGAATTGGAGTCCTTAATTTCAATATTAGAAGGTAACTTTAATAATTCTGGTTTTACTGCAGTTATTTTAATTACGTTATACTTTACAAGAAATGAATACATAACGTCACTATATTGTAGGTGAAAAGGTATTCATCTAAAGTTTAATGGTTGTGTATAGATTTTCCTTTTTGATAATTTTTGCTTGTGTATTATATACAATCTATAGGCACGATCTGCATTTTTATTGTAGTGGCGTTTTATTATACAATGCATATACAGGGTGACTGGTAAGTCGGCGTATTCCTTTGAGGGTGGGTTAGTAGAACTCATTTGCAATTATTGATGTTAATTGCCGAAAAAATGTCACCTCTTGACGTTTTTTAGATATCGGCATCGTGTAGAAAATAAATGAAATTTTTAAAGTCTTTTTAAGTCTATTAGAAAATAATAAAATAATGTTATTAAGTACCCTACATAAAAATTTTTATTTATCTCCTACACTAAAAATCTGATAAAAATCAAGAGGTGACTTCTTTTCAGCAATTAACTGTCTACATAACTGTGTCATCTAAATCTAAAGAAGTCATTGGTGTATATATTTTCTTTACAAAATTAACCGAAATAATAATAAAACCTCAACATTCTGCATTTCAAGTACGAAACAGCAATGGACCCATTTTGATAGTAAAGTATTTGTCTTATTTTTGAGTGAGAAATCTCCGCTTAAGCGATGACACATGTTTTTTGAAGGGCAAGCGAGGTTTCAAAAAAAAAAAAATCTCAAAAACTGTTAGGTTTTGTATTATGCATATTATAGTTAAATCAATTGCAAATGAGCTCTACTAACATCCATTGAAAGGAATACGGCGACTTACCAGTCATGCATCTTGATGTGTACCTATATATATCATTATTAATCAATGACTTTCAGAAGTCATTGATATTAATTTATTATCAGTGTAGGATAAAGTTCTTTGTTCTTGCCAAAAATGCTAAGCTAACATATTAATTATTATATATTTTAGCTGCCTATTTACAATTTGTATATTATAATTCAAATATGCTTAAAAAATTCGGTTTCATATGTACAAAACTTGTTATGCCATACCTGTTTGAAAGTTCGAGCATACTTTTCTATTATATAGTTAGCTACAATGATTTTTGTTTAAATTATTTATACTTTAATAACATAAATAATTGTTTTCTAGGTCAAGAATAAATACTAACGTTGGACAATTTACTGGAAATTTCAGAAGAACAGATTGTAGAACTTATTCCTCAAATCGGAAAGATAATAAAATTCATAAAACACTTAAAAGCTATAAAGAAATAGTGTGCCTTCCTGTGGTAAATTTGAAGTCTCATATACAGTGTGTTCACGAATGAACTTGTACTTGTAAAATTTTTTTGTTTTCGGTTTCTTAATAAAACGTCATTCTTCATAAAAACTTCTAATTCTGAAAAGTCCTTAACCAATCCTAGAAATTCAAATTTGATTTAAATAATTTATCTGTATTATTTAAATATTGTCTGAACACTATTTGTGGCATTCTCTAAATGTTTCCTTTTCTTTTTTGGGACTTACTACCTACCACATAATTGTTTGTTATCTAAAAAAATATAGTTAGTTACCCAATATGTTACAGGAAAAATAAACCTCTGCGCTTGTGACTACGTCAAAAGATTAGTCAGAGGGTATTTGTTGACAACTAATATGTGACAAAAAATAATATAATTCCTTGTTGTTTCAAAAAACACCCTCTGACTAATCTTTTAATGTAAAGTCACAAGCGCAGAGGTTTATTTTTCCAGTAACATACTGGTAACTAACTATATTTTTTAGATGACGAAGAATTATTCATGTGGTAGTAAGTTCCAAAAAAGAAGAGGAAAAAAGTTTTATTTAAATAATGCAATTGTTGAATGAAATGAAATTTATCCTTACATTAAGTGGTAAATTTAATAGATCGCATTATTAAATCTAGAAAGAAAAGATTTCAGTCAATATCAAATATTTATTGAATCAAGTAATTCATCAGTTTTGTTTAAATAATGCAGTTATTGAACGAAATGACACATTTCTTACATTAAGTTTAAGTGTAACAGATCACAATATCTCTACTTTTGAACTGAATAAATGAAATCTTAGATTAAGTATAAGTTACTATTGAATATTTTCCTCTTAGCTGAAGTAGAACCATTATTCTAAAGTTAATAGTTAGTTATCATTAAAAGAAGGAGACTAAGATAATGAATTTTAAGAATAACGTTTTCCTTGGTGGAAAAATATCTATTCTTGCGGATATATGAGTACAATAATGTCTTAATTTAAGAATAGTAGTCTTAAATATAGTTTAAATTTTTTTCCGTGTATATTTAAAATAATTAATAATGTTTCACAAGGAGTCAACCGCAGAATCAGCTCAGTGTACTTTGTTTATTTCATAAGTACAGGCACAGCTCTGATTTATAATAAAGGACATGGTAGCTGAGTTGGTAAAGCTCATATACATAGCTGTTTACTCGGTACCTAAGATCGCTGGTTCGATTCCATCCTGAAGCAAGTTAGAAATTTCATTTGTAATTTGTTTCGGACGGTTCGGACTCCACAATAAAATGTAGGGCCTCATCTCTCTTTGCCTAATGTAAAATCCTAGGATTTTTAGGGGATTACTTCGGTTACTTGAGAGGCAGTTAAGAAAACGTTTTAAGAAGAATTTTTTTTGATGAGATGTTTATTTATCGTCGTGACGCTTGAAATGGACATTTAAATGCATATTTTTAACGCTATTTAAGGAAGAAACAGACAGCCTCAAAATAAACAAAAAAACATTTAAATACCATTTTCTGTTTCTGAAAGAAAGGCGTGAGCAGTCAAACTTTGATCGTCCTGTACAAATTAACACACACTCTGTACGTAGTGGAAGTTACCCCTCGAACTGGTGGTGTTAATTATGTATCATTATTGTGTCCATAAATATGGACGACTCATGGTATTTATTTGGTGTAAAAAGCTAAATTGAATTTTAAACGGTGTGAGCTATGATGTGTGAAAACTTTTTTTTGTTCTAGGTAAGGAATACTGCTAATATTAATAGACCGCTAATGTGAACCTCATCGCTTCGGGTGAGTCATAATAATTATATAACATGTATATATAACACATAGGTATATCGTACATGTAAATAAACTAATAAACGTCTTTTTGCTTGACGTCATTTTAAAGTAAGTTGATTCTCATTCAAGTATAAACATTTTAATTTTATAAAAAACCTAGGAAAAAATACGGTAAAAAAAGTTATGCTTCTATTTTGGTGTTATTTAGTTATTGGCTTATTTTACACTTTTTTAATAATAATATAGTTTTGAAAATAAAAATAAACAATGAAATTATAACAAGCCATTTACGGTTTGTGAGGAAATTATTGTATTGAACCATATTGAAATATACGGGGAATCCCCAGGTGTCTATGATGATTTTGTTTTGTTTATAAAATAAGTAGTCTTGACATGGTCAAACGCCAGGTACGCAAACGTCAAAAGTGAAAGTGGCAGATCTATTTAATAATTAATCTAAAGTGAATAATTGGACCAATCAACAGCGTATTTTTTATGTTGACCAATTCGTAAAAACTGATTCTGTGATTTCAGCCCAACTTTCTTTCCATCAGACTTTCAATTCTTCCGTTGTCTATCACCGAAACCAACAAATTAAAGCATAGAAAATGACATACACATGGTAACGTTTGTGATAGAAAAGAGGCAGGAGAACTACGAATAGCTAACAACCCCGAAAACCAATTAAGGATGAGAAATTCGATACTGCAAAGTCCGAAAAGACCAATCCGACAATATATAGCGTTGGGTTGAATTGAATGGCCATTTCGATTACCTCATTTAAATCCATTGATTTGGTTGTCCCGCTTAAAATATGAAACTGATGTAACGCTGTGAACACAATTGGCGGTGAACCAATTATAAGTCTAGTACCCCGAAAACGTATTTAATTGAAAAGGTGAGAACGTAGTTTAGATATTGATAAACTTTTTTAATGATCCGGTATTAATAAATACGCTGATTGATAATAAATAGTTTGAAGTATTTTTAAATTTTTTAATGCACTTTAATTTTGTAGGTGTGAGTGCACGTGGCTGCTGCAATACTAAGTATAATTATTTAAAATATAATCTCATAGGACTTAAAAAAAATATATGCAGGTTTACTTAAGATGACGTTCGTAGGTTCCCAAAGTTAAAATTAATATCTTATCTTTTATACAATAATTGACGTAGAATTAAATTAAAAGGTTTTCTTGTAAATTAAAATAGATTAATGACGTAATTTTGTAATTAATTATTGCAAGTTAATAACAATAATACGCCAGGTTTAATACTTATTGGGGCAGGCTGTAGAATAATTTATTACAACATTTTATATTATCGTTAAGGCGTCCAAAAACTAAAAATAAGTGGATTTATCTTTCATTGTTTTGATGTTCTAAATTGAATCTTGTTATTTTTTTCTATACTTATTAAGATTGCTTTTATTGAAACTGTTTAGTGACCCTTATTTTTATTTTTTCCTTATAAATTGTTGGGCAGTAATAGAAAAAGGGAGAAAACTAGATTTCGTTAACGTTTCGTCTTTATTTAAAACATCCTCATAACTGACAATAAGAAAAATATTCATTCGTCATTTTGTAACTTTATATTTTTCTTATCGTCAAAGCCCCGAGGATATCTTCAAAAAAGACGAAACATTGAAATTTGCTTTTATTGTTGTTCTATACAATTCATTTTAAAGCTTATTTATGGGTTTTGAAGTAGCAGAATGTTTAACAAATAATAATTAAAATTTGAATCGGTATTTAAGGCGTTTATGAGACGCAGAACTTTTTATGAAGGCACTTTTTCTAGTAAATCAATAAATAAAGAAATTGTTGCTTCATACGGTTGACAATATGTATGCTAATTATAGTAAGATATGACGATAAAAAAATACCACAAGAGATTTGCACTTTGTTTGACGAACTTTATCCCAACAAAGTCTCTAGTACACAATGTTCTGTCAGTAGACTAGTGCAAGAGTTTAGAGAAAAAGACAAAAATCAGCACCAGGCAGCGAAAAGACTCGATATTTTATTAACATTAGAAGAAACGCCTCAAATATAGTGTATTTCACGAGAGAATTCCGATCATATACTAAGAAAAATCGTCAAGGGCTCTATCTGTCCTTGTCTGTATTAAAGATTATCTGTAACAGACAGTCTTAAACTGTACCAACCGGATTCTTTCGTGAAGTACATTTTATCAACTTAACTTGCTGTGGATCATGATATAGATCCCAAATCTATTAGAAATCTTCTGAAAAAAGAAAAACATCTGTCTCTTACAAAACAAATGAGTCTTGCATGCGCTGTTTTGTTCCAAAATCAGAATAATTTGATTCAAAATAAAGTAAACAAATATTAAACTCAGGTATTTCCCGATAGACGTGGATCCATAGTATCGCCTGCCAGGTCTCCCGTTTTCTCGTTTTCTTTTTATGTTGACATCTTAAAAGTAAGGTGTACAGGAACATCTCAGAAAATTTTGAGGATTTGAAAGGTCCAATAAGAACCAAAATGAAGCAAGTATTCTACACGGCCCTGGATAATTTCTTAAGACATCTTCAAGGTCGACTGGCACATTACCAGGCTGTTTATTGTAAATTTATGTAATTATGCATTTTGTAGAATATAGACTAATATTATTTAATATTGCCTGTAAAACGTTATCTTCATTAATAAATGTTTTAAATGTATTTTCCTTAAAAATGTTCCAGTGTTATAAATTATCTGTAATTCATAAGAACAAAAATGCCTATTAAAATATCTGAAAAAAAAATAGGTTGCAATAAAAAAACATAGCAATAAAACCAAATCCTGAAAAAAAATTAAGGTCACATAATTATACGCTGTAATTATAATTAGTCAAATAAGTTCTGTTAAGGTAATTTTTACTTTCTTATCCATCTATAAGTGGAGAGTGTATTGGCGTCGTGAGAAAAATCAAAATCAAGATTGTGATGAAAATTAACGTTTTGAGACTGGAAAATAGAAAATTTATCCGAACTGTCGCTTTTCATTTGTTGTGACCGCATTTTCTCAAACGTGGAAATCTGAAATTTTACATATACATCTGTGACGTCCAAGGGCAAACCCTATTGAATGTAAGAGAGAGCACGTCTTAAAAGTTAAAAAAAAAAATGGTCAAAAAATGTTTCAAATAAAAATTGTTCGAATGAGGAAATTTGCCCAAAAGAACGTAAGATTAACCGTTACCGAGAAAATTGAACCTTTTACCCAAAAGAATCCTTTCCAGCTGTAATTTACTGGTCTAAAATTATTACATGTATACATATGCATATTTGAAAGGCATATTATTCGACATACTAAAAAAAAACACGATATATTACGGAAGTTTTTAATGAAAACATGTATCAGAAAGATGTATGGAGACTTCTTTAGTCATGGTTATCATGATGATCATTATTCTTGTGAATGTAATTTCTTTCAGACATCTGAGCTGTTTCTAAAATATGGTTAATATTAACTTCGTAAGGTCCATTTTTATTTGGTATTTGGATTACAATGGGCATTTCTTCTTTATATGAATGGAAAGTATGATGTATCATTTCAGAGGCCTCCTTGGTTATCAGAATAATACCAATATCATTCCTATGTACGAAATTATAAAAAGCATCTTCTATATCAGCAGATTTAGTATTTTTATCCACGAGAAAATAGTTTGGATGCTCGTCTTCATCTACTTGTCCAATACCACCCAACAAGTATCCGACGCACGTATCTTCATCTGCAATAATTGATATTAAGAGAGGTGGGCCGTACGTTATTTGCTGGCATTCAGAATTCTCTGATTCCTCAGAATTCTCTGATTCCTCAGAAATCTCTTGACTTAATTCTTCTTCAATATCAACTAGTTTTTCGCTCATTGTACACGGATAATTTTTATATTTTTTATATTTGTGATGTGATAGGTTTAATGAGATGATTTAAAATTGAATTTTTTGACGTTTTGTCATGTCTACATACAATATTTATTACATCCTTATGTAGAGTTCACAGAACAAAAACTGTCGCTAACTACAGATATTTCGGCCAATTAAATTTAAACTTCGAACTTCCCCGAACACTCACCAATCTGTCGCTATACCGCTATCTGAAGTTATAATGATTGAACTATAAATTGTGTATTCAGCTACAGTTTGATTATGTTTAATGTTTATGTCGTTTATTTGAGTAATTTTATATACGACATGTAAAAACTGTTTACATTTTTACAAAAAAATGAGTTCTGAATTGTCTTGGGTAACCATCGAAAACCCCTATAGTGGAAAGTCATACGATGTGAATTTAACAAATGAAGAAATAAAAAGATGTGAGCGGTAATTGATTAATCTTATTTTTATTTTTTTTAATAAATATACTTACATATTTATTAAAAAAATATATCGAATTTATTAAAGAGTATATTTGAACACAGAACAACTAAATTCTTGTGG